TGCTCATCTAAATTATATTTAAACAGGAGCCTTAGTGAGTAAAAATAATCATTAAAACAACTTTATATTCTATTATTATCGGTCCGAAACGGTAAAAAATGACTTTTAAATTATCAATATTTCTAACTTGGAAGTTATGAAACTCTATGCTGATAAAAATAAAGTTAGGATACAAATATCTAATACCAAAGATCTAAGTGTTAATCCATAATCGTAGGGGGCCGGACGTGATTTAGTAGGTAGAGTATCCGGGCTGTGTGAATCCGTGATTTCACGGGTCGTGTCCCGTTGCCGCAAAAAGTATGTCGTGCTTTTTGGGTTGTGGGTGCGCTATAAAATAATAAGAATGACGGTCGAAACCAATTATTTGGTCAAATAAGAGTAGTCCAAGAGTTGATAATGAGTGCTGTTGACCAGTTGTTTTTTCTTTAGTTTATTAGCTCTTGTTTAGCTTTGCACTGAATTCTAAAACAATCAACGAATTATCAGAAGTTAATCGTAGACTTTTTTTTTAGTTTTAGGATTAAGCAGTTTACTGCACTTTAAAAAACGAAAACACATATCCTTAATTTAAAATTGCAATTAAAATAAGAAACACTGCATGAAAAACAAAAGCATGAAATACTTTAGATAAAAGATTGATGTTTTCAATGCTTCGTAGATATGTTTTTGTTGTTGTTTTTTATCTTCACCGGACGAAGTTAGTAAAGCGAAACACGTGAAAGAAATCAGAACTTAGCATACATTCGACTTTTATTATCAAGTCTTAATGTACAAAGCATGTCATAACTGATAGAAGAGTCTTAGATATAACCGTGTTTGGTCCTTAAGGCAGTTCGTTGTCACGGTTTCAGATCCATACAAAAGACGTAAGAATGTAATTAGTCAAGTAGTAAATCTGCAGGAGACTAAAAAAAAATAAAAATATTGAAATAAGATGTCTGCAGCTGGTCATCTACTTGAAACCTTTTAAGGACATATTAAAAAGGAAGATTTATCATTATCAAAATTTTCCTCCTTTTCCCTTATTTAGTTATTACATACGATTTTAAAATCAGCACATACAATTAAAGAACAAAAATTGACCAAAATCAGTATGTGAGTTAAAAGAAGACCATAAGAGGCATTGACGGTATCAGAGGCATTGACGGTATCAACTAGAAATAAGCTTTAAAGTTTCGATTTTACCTTTGTATTTTTTCTTAACTCTATTTTGTTCATTTATGAATACACATACGCCTACTATAGCTAGGAGCTATTCTCAAGGCCTCATCTAACAGAAGTTGTATTATATTTTCTTGTTTCGTAGGCTAGGCCTCGTGTTTTTCTCTTATGTATTAATTTAAATACTCACATACCTACGAATAATACAAATTTTCCAAAGCTAAATCACGACTTACGAGGCTCAGGAAAGGTGATCATAAAAAGTAATGTTTAAAGCTAAAGAATTAGAACTTATAGTAGAAAATAATATTTATATCAGATACTTGGACAATCAGTAATTTTAAAGTTATTCGGGGAAAAGGGAAAAGCTTGAAAACTCGTGTCATTTGATAAGTCTGCTGGATATATAATGATTAGAAAACCACGTTAATTCATTATCACGATCAGCACACAGTAAAAAAAGAGCATGCGATGTATGTTATTGACAGGACGACACATAAATGATTTGTTACTAAAATCATAGATGTGTAAAGGACGACGTTAGCAAGAATAGGCTAGAATCAACGAAAAGAAAAACAACTTAAATACAGGAAATTAGGTTTGACAGAAAACCATTCACCAATTCATTCATCTACAAAAGCCGCTTCTTGTCATGATATTTACATATAGTGAGGGAAAAGCGTAGACAATGAACTTTACAAAAAATGATTACAGTGAATGTTATTGAGCAAACTTCGGATTTAAGATAATACGATATAAGTATATAGTCGGATTTAAGATAATACGATATAAGTATATAGTCGGATTTAAGATAATACGATATAAGTATATAGTCGGATTTAAGATAATACGATATAAGTATATAGTCGGATTTAAGATAATACGATATAAGTATATAGTATAAACAATTATTTTCTTTGATAATCATATTTTTACAATTGGTCCTTCTTTAAACTCAAGGTGAACCATAATCTTCCTTCCATAGCTGGGCTCTGACCGGTTGATGTGGGACTTGAAATCTAGTTGGATGGCGTATTATTTCATACCTCTTTCTGTTTTTATTGCAAAGATAACAACTCCTTCCATACTCAGGCTTCAATTTCAGAAATTCGATAAAAATTTGATAGTGATACCGTTAAAGGAAAGTTCATTTATTGAAATATATTGGAAAGTCAGTATTCGTGCTTTTGTTTCGAAAGGTATCAGACAACAATAATAGCCTGAACAATATTCTGTTTTTAAAAACAAATTCAGTTGCAATAGCTAACGTGTATATGAGAACCCATAATTTGTCCTGTAATAAATTCAACTGTAAACAAAGGAATATGTTTTGAGGTGTTTGTACGTGAGTGTTGATTACGACCTCAACCATAAGATTGTGAAACAAGCATTTTGTTAGCAATATGAAATACAGCCTCGTGGGACAATCCTATTTTTAATGAATGTCCGGGTGATTTCGCTTTGTGTTTATATATTCTTTTGGAACATTGCACAGTAAACTTAAGATTTATTATTCAGAGAAACTTCGAAAATAAATAAGGATTCTGTTGAACAACTTTAAGTAAGGAAATAAATGACTTTCTCTGTACTCTGTCCAAATCAACGTAAAATGAATGAATGATCTCATCACTTTATGTGCGTATATGTTCAGGCTATTGGACACTTTCTTTGTGATGTTTTTTAATACGGACCAGTAGCTTTCAAAAGAAACCATCCCAAAGTAAAGGAGACAGGTGAAGGGCATGTTTTAAGGGTGGGTTCTGTTCAAGAATTGCCCTTCTATAGTAGTGCTGAAATGCATGCGTGTTGTCACATAGTTTGGCGACAAAAAAAAAACTACTGCTGTCCTGCATCAAACATTTATCTTTGTTTGATAGCGATGTATTGTAAAGAAAAAGTAGACTGTTGGTGAACAGTGTGCCTGCTGGCTGCAGCTACATCTCATACTGGGTCAGGTGCTGAGCCCAACGCATGTATGTTCTCACGAGATGGATGCTCCGTGACAAGATGACGAGCAGTAGGCAGGGCGCTCTAACTGTCATCTAAGCTGTCACAATGTCTGTTTCACAACTCCACACATAATTCACTAAGTCTTTTTTGTTTGCTTGTTTTACAGCAAAGCAACATTGGACTATCTGCTTAGTCCACCGCGGGGAATCAAACCCCAGATTATAGGGTTGTAAGTACTCACCGCTGTCCCACCAGTGGACAATTCGCTAAGAAATAAATATTTAGTAAGTGTATGCTCATTTATCTAAGACATCTTAGCCTGGTGTCTAAATGGAAGAAACTAAATGATGTAGGAAAAATATTATCTAAATGTAATGAATAGAAAATCTAACTTTTAAACTGTAATGTTATTCTGTTTGAGGTTAGGTTTATTCCTATACTAACACAACTCATTCAGACTACTTACCATCCCTACTACAACTCTGAACTGTGTTGAAGAAAATTTACTGTCAATAAATGTTTTAATATGATTATTAGTTAATCATGGAGAGGATTTTCACTGTGAAAGATAAATCAATACAGAAATGTATTTACATAAGGTTTAGCATTTGCATTTCTCTGCAAAGTGCAACAACGTAAGAGCAAGATATTCATTTCTGTGTTAATACACACACAAAACCTTGCTCTGATTTAAGACAATAAAAAAAAACAGTTTCATATTTGTTGTGGGGCTCGCCACAGAATGGAAACTATGAAGACGCGAAACAAAAATATATTTAAATACAACAGTATGTATTACACAGAAAATATAAATATAAAAACCCGTATGTTCTACATCACCACCACTGTTCTAGGCTAGATCACAACATTTGTGGTAACGAGAGATCCGTGGGATTGGGGAGTCAGTTGATTGTGGAACGTAGCGAATACTAGTATCCCAAATGGACACCAGATTTACTAATAATGATTAAAAGTGAATTTATACAATATCAAACAAGCGAAAACTGGGAACAAATAATAAACAGAAGTAGAATAATAATGCAATATCACGTACTTATACACAAGGCTAGGTCAAACCCAAATTATATCTTTATAACGACACCATAGACAACGTTAAGAGTATTGAAAGTTAATTGTGACTTCCAAGAGTGTTCTATTTCCTAGATATATATACTTAGTAGTTCCCTGAAATACGTACAAATACATGTACATGCATTAGATTATATTCATTCTTGATTTTGTTTGTCTTAAATAGTATTTCTTGGCTAATTATAACGGTTTGCACTACAAGTTTTGTATTTCTGAAAAATTCAGTCTAACTTTCTGTGAGGAGCTGAGCTATAACTACTGTTTAATAATAAATATTCATCACTGTGTAATTTTGTTAGGACTATGAAAAGACAGCCTGTCAAGTTGATTGTAGATTTTGTTTCTTATCTTTAAACATCGGCTACTCTACTAGCTTTGAAGCCAATATGTGAGCACGTAAGTGTTGGTATCATCGTTCGTCGATTTTCGTGGTCATCGTTTTCTGAAAACATTTACACTGGATGAAAATAAAAGGGTTGAGTACCTTCCCAAACTTATTTTTTTGATGGTCAAGCGATTGTTTGTCCTGGCTGAACCTCACTACGTTTGTTTCACGTCAGACGTAACTAGATAAACATACTTCGGTTGTCACCTTAATAACTCCTTTTCCGTTGCAAAATTTCTGGGGATTTAGTAATTCCACCCGAGGAAACCAGACAGTTACTAATCTTCGTGAGATCGTACGTTTCGTGAAACGGTGTCTTTCTTTATTGTTTTATGTGGGTATATTCCTTTTCCTAACAAATACAGTTTACAAAGGAAAATTAATACATAAACAACAGAAACCACCAGCCTACCTGATTGATTATTATGTACTAATCTCAGTCCAAGTACCTGTTCTGATTCTTGGAATTTCTCATCGAGAACGAGACACAGAAAACACGTTTGTTTTATCAAGAAAGTGGCTTACCTCCTCAGGCCTTCGCTACATTCCGACTGGTTATATCGCTTACCTATAAAAATAGTTATATATAGAGAATGTTGTTATACTATAAATGTATTGGGTGAAAAGTATTTAAAACATTTGTGTTTAATTAACGTAGTCTGCAACAAACTGTTTTGTAGAAAGTACTGTCCCATGTTCATTTAGATGTTAAAAGATAAAATGTTAAATCTTGTCAACTTTTCTAGAGACGTCTTCTCTTAAACATCCTTGAGATTTACGATAAATGCATATAATCATATAAATAATATAAGGGTATTTCAGCAATGATAAAAATAAACAAAAGTAATAAATACAACTACAACAATTCATTTAATCGTCTTAATCTTCATGATGGTGTTATTGAGCCCAAACGTTAGTTTTATATATATATATAAGCTTTATACTTTACTGTAAACAAACACAATATACTGCAACATGGGAAATTTTATAGAGCAACATTAAGTCAAAGTCACTGTACTATTAATACACTGTTCCTTTTAATAGTGAAAGACAAATTATTATAATATAAAGGGATCTATGAAAAATATATTTACATATATCAGAGTAGTGACAATTGTATTGAAATTGAGATGAAATATATATGTGTGTGTTATTATAAAAGCTCAATGCGTTATTTTTGAATAAATAATGGAAATTATCTATGTACCAACAAACATCCATCTCATCCCTAAAGTATCTTTATTTAAATTTTCTTGTTAAAATAATTAAAGAAAAAAAAATTAATCTTGCTTTGAATAACTAGTGAAAGACTGAAAACATAATATGTAAATGATTTCCATGATCAGACGATAACATCAACGACTTCTGGTGGAAGTAATTTTCCAGAACTATTTCATGGTTCTCGTCTGAGTTTACCGCGCAAATTCTGCAAGCTACGAAAACAAGTTTATTATTATCATTATTTTACAGAACAGGTATACCTCAAGGAAAACGAATCTACGTGTCACTCAGGTGACATCTTGGAGGTGAAGTAAACGGACACTCCAGACAGTCAAGATACTTTATAAATCATGCTCGGCTAGAAATTCCGTGGATGACAGCTTTCAGGTTGAGTTTATTCTGACCTGCTTTCAACCAATTCATCACAGCATTAAAGCAGGTCTAAGGATGAAAAAGAGCCAAACTAGTAAGAAAAATAAAAAGGAAAAAAGGAGGGGTGAAAAAGGTTTAAATCTTCTTCAGTCTATGAAACCACGAAATAGGCTTGAATTACCACAGTAAAGTACTGACAAACATACCTGCCTGTGTTGTTTGTAATCCTCTAATCCATAATAAATAACGGGATTATGTGTTGTCCGTACGATAAGGGATTTTTCCCATCAGTCCTTACTATTGTTACAATTTTCTCTTAATAACCAGCTATATGAACTTAAGACAAGTGCTTATATTTTGCAAGAACTATATTATTGTGTACCGTTCAACACTTTTATAACGTGCACAACCATGTGGTTGTACAGTGCATGACCAACGTTTAAATTTTGTCTCACATGTATGTCTTATAATATGTCTTTGTTCACGGCAATAAATGTTTTATTGTCTGTCTTACGATAACAACAAAGATATGGCACAGCGGTATGTCTGCGGACTTACAACGCTAGAAACCGGGTTTCGATACCCGTGGTGGGCAGAGTACAGATAGCCAATTGTGTAGCTTTGTGCTTAACTTCAAACAAACAAAAATATGGTTATGCAATACATAAAAATGTTTAAGTTTCACCTCGTTGATATATTACTGTATGTCTTATAGCACATAGCCTTCATATAGCACAACAGTAATGATCAATGCACAAAATATTATTTCATAACATTTATGCAAATTGAAATAACAAATAAATCATAAATCTTACGAAACAATAAACAACAACAAAAAGAAACAGGCAATGTTAAAAGTTTAATTGAAGATCCTGGTAAGTCATAATATCATCATGACACGTGCCAACAGATATATAACGCAGAAGATATCAGTGTAACTGTGGGTGGAGCAGGGACACTAGTATATAATTACCACCCATCACGCCCTTGTAAGCCATGGATAACATCAAAAGCAGTCGACAAGTTATCAAAGACGTATTGTATACAAAGAAATGAGCCGCTTGTTGGATCTAATTACTAGTGCTACTGTATGATGCGACCCCACCCATCAGTACTGTGAAAGTAAGTGAAAAAGGACACCACTCAATGACAATTACGATAATATTATGAATTATCACCGTTGCATATTTCAATATAACCTATATAAAAGCCAGTGTGTGTCACGTCACGCTTGATCTCTCGGAATAGGAGGAGTCATAAAAGCCAAAATGCATTTATCCAGATAGAATAGTTCGATTACTGTCTGCCCATTAAGATTTTAGGGACAGGAGTACAAGGGGGCCGTGAGGGTGTGTGTGTGTATGTGTGACGTGAAACCTTATAAGTGTAGTGAGTGTGGTATAATGAGCCTAAAGTGAAGACGTAGTGTGGTATCATCTAGCCTAGAGCCAACTGCGTAAAATCGCAAAATTGATTTATTTCAGTTAGCTATGAAATATATGGTTAGGGTATACAATGGGGTGGGGGTGGTAGTACTTGCCCCGCTAGTATTCATACAATATACAGTAGTTTGTACAATAAACTACATATATTTTTCAGTACTGAAACTTCATATCGTTGTTAAAAACTAAAACCCATTCATTGGATCATGAAGTGATTGAAGCTATATAATACCTTCTCCAGATACCTATATTAATCTATATAAAACTAACACAAAGTGAAAATAAATCTTGAATCTCCAAAAGAAAAAAAATCCAAAAGCAAACAGCAACATCTAATTAACTAGAAATTAACATACAGCAACATATAGTTGAACAGAAATTAACAAACAGCAACATCTAATTAAATAGAAATGAACAAACAGCAACATATAATTGAACAGAAATTAACAAATTTATATATATAAAAAAATGTATTAATTCATGGTCCTTTTGATGTCCTGTAAACTAAAGAGCCCATGATTAGATGACGATGATAAATAGTGTTACTCATAGTATTATACTAATAGGTGCGCTGGTGTTTAGTACTATCTATATTTCATGTGACTAGTCCTGTAGAAACAACATCAAATTATTATTACAATTTTGGGGTAATTTAAGTTTTGTATTTTAATAGTTTTAGGATAAACTTTCATATATAATATTTCTCTCACATTTTTTCTACATGTTTCAAATGTTCAGCTTTGAAATGCAATATACAACTAGTTTGTTTTTTATCGTTGTAAAATATTCAATTTTTTACGGGCAATATGTCTTTCCAAGTTGGTATTCAACATTATTATATGCTTAACTTCAATGATCAATGTTTTTGCTCTTGATTACTGTTGTATGATACTTAACTACAATGGTTATTACGTCTCTACATCTTGATTACTGTTGTATGATACTAACTACAATGGCTATTACGTCTCTACATCTTGATTACTGTTGTATGATACTTAACTACAATGGCTATTACGTCTCTACATCTTGATTACTGTTGTATGATACTAACTACAATGGCTATTACGTCTCTACATCTTGATTACTGTTGTATGATACTAACTACAATGGCTATTACGTCTCTACATCTTGATTACTGTCGTATGATACTTAACTACAATGGCTATTACGTCTCTACATCTTGATTACTGTTGTATTATACTAACTACAATGGCTATTACGTCTCTACATCTTGATTACTGTTGTATGATACTTAACTACAATAATCACTGCGTCACTACATCTTGATTACTGTTGTAAGATATTTAACTACAATGGGTCCTGGGTATGACGTTAAACTGCATCCAGCAGTAGGACAGTCAACAGTGAGACAAGTACTCTCTAGCTGCTTTAGTCTCTGGGTTGCCCTTAGGCAAGGCATAGAACCCGTTAGCCTACCTTACTGCGGTTACAGTTAATGCCGTTGGAGACACAGGATGGTGGATCATTTCATCTGATAGATGCCTGGTGCAACTGGGACTACGACAGAGAAGACCTGCTCAAGTTAGTTGAGCACTGCAGCAAGAAATGGTAACCTACAGCAGTATTTTGCCAAGCACAATCTATGGTATTTCACGAATCAAGGAAAAAACCATAACGGCGTGAAGGGGTCCCTGATAGAAATGGGAAGGAAAGCCATGTCCAACTGTCAGCATGCTACTGTCCGCAACCAAAAGAGGACAGACAAAGTGGCGATGTGGAATATGTGGAATCAACACCAAATTGAAAAACTGTCTAATGTCAAGTATGAGATGAAGAGATTATAGATTAATATTCTAAGTCTGTGCGAAACATGTTGAAAATATGCTGGAACTATTGTTTAAGAAGATATGAAGACCATTTATTCAGAATGTCAGGTGCACGAAAAAGAAGTTGGGTTATTTTTAAAGAAAAAACCTCAAAGTGTTTGCATGGATTTTGGGCAATATCTGATAGAGTGATGCTTGTGAAAATAAAGGCTGAACCTCTCAACATTGTAATAATACAAGCATATGCATATACAGTTGAAAATGAGGAAGAGGACATTGGTCGTTTCTACGGAGACCTCGATAATGCGAAAAAGCAACACAAACCTCATGAAGTGGTCATAGTGAAGGGAGATCTCAATGCGAAAATTGGTTGTGCTTGTTTGCTTATTTGTCTTGAATCTCGCGCAAAGCTACACGAAGGGCTATTTTGCTAGCAGTCCCTAATTTAGCAGTGAAAGACTAGAGGGAAGGCAGTTAGTCATCACCGCCAACTCTTGGGCTACTCTTTTAC